TGCCCACAGAGGAAATTCCTGCTCATCTGTCTTAGTAAGGCAATTATCAGTTCCTCATATCTGACCCTACAACAGGGCAGTTCTCTCAGATCTATCTCTGACATAATAGTTTACAGAGCAATCCGTCTAAAAGACACAGTGGAGATAACTATTCAAGGAAAAGAGTATACTTAATGGACTAGCTTTCTATACCCTCAAGAAGCCTCAATGAGGACTTGGGTATGAAGCCAAAAGACTTCAGGGTCCTAACACTTAAGCCAGGGGTTCGTAACCCAGCAGTGAACTTCTGGTGGAGCTTAATATATCCACAACCACTAAACTCTATTCCCAGAGCTTCTGATTCCATATAGCTAGGATGGGGCCCAGGAATATGCATTTTTGAAATGCTGCACAAATATCCTATCTCACTGCTGTCCTGACTCCTCTCCTAAGTCGAGAGCCATCAAGCTTGAACCATTGATCCATGAATGCTTTGAAAATGAATATGCTTCCCCACCACCAAGGAGGCAGATTAAAGAGTCTCAGGACTGGGGCACCTGGGTGGCTCAGTCAGTTAAGTGTCTGACTTTTGATTTCGGTTCAGGTCATGATTTCAGGATCATGAGATCAAGCCCCACGTTGGGCTCTGCATGGACAGCATAGGGCCTGCTTGGGATTCTCTCCCTCCCTGTCTCTCTGCCCCTCCCCCGTTTATGCTTGCGCTCACGCTTACACTCTATCTCTCTCAAAATAAATAAATAAACTTAATAATAAAAAAAGTTCCAGTACTAATACCTGGACTCAAACACTAAGCAAAAGCGAAAATTAGATTATTGCCAGTTTTTTCTCTTCCATGAAAATCCCCTACACAAACTCTTCTTAGAGCCACATATGAAAAGACTCCACCATACAATGGGACATGAGCAAATTGTGGGGAAAAATGAGACAGAGAAAACATTAGAGCTGTATCCATAAAAACGGAGAACTAGAAGAAAGCTCCAAGTCATCTTGCCCATTGTTTTCAAAGGAATAATACATACCCCAGACTGGATAAATGGCTATTAAGGAGGAGGAGGATTTCAAAACCTCTTCACTTACTTTTTCAAAATCTAACGGCTCTCCAGCACAGGCAATCCTTTTGTATCCCTCAATGAAATCATGCCTGCTCGGCTTCATTCCATTTCTGTCCTTTGTTAAAACAGAAAAATGACCCAGCTCCTTCCACATAAAAATCTTCCGGAAGCTTGAAGAAAAGAGGGGGAGGGCTAGCTCCCCGGAGCACACACATGCTGAAGGAAAACACAGCCTCAGCTGAGATGAAAGGCAGAACTGACAACTGTACAGGATTTGAAGCTGAAAGGTGTTTACAACTGATAACTTTGAGTTACACTTCATCGAGACTCAGCAGATCTGGCATAAAACCTCAAATTACTCTTCTCCAATTCTATCTCAGTGCAGAGACTTCCTTCCCTTAGACAAAGTTTAATACAAATCCCAGCTCTCAATTACCCATTTCTCAATCAATACTCTCAACCCCCATTTCTACTGGCTTTCATTTCAAGCTTCTAACCATATTTAAGCCATATTTTCAACTAGGTCTCTCCTGAATTAAAAAGTCTTTCATGAGCACTACCTTCTGCATATATGTACTTCCGCTTCTCACTTGGGCTCTTCACTCCTAAATAGGCTACATCTCTACTTCTTTTTCAACATTATTCCTAATTTCAATTTCTCTTTAAAGAGGTCACAAATCTGCTCCTAATTATTTCCTATTCTTCTGGAATTCCACGTTTATCCCCACTATATTTGACATCATTCATTTATTCTTTTCATTCATTTATTCATTTAGTATTTACTGCATACCTTACACTATATTGTGATGTGAAAGAAATAAAAAGCAAGGCCCTTGACCATAAGAAATAAAGACACACAGGGGCACCTGGGTGGCTCAGTTGGTTAAGTATCTGACTTTGGCTCACGTCATGAGCTCGCAGTTCATGAGTTTGAGGCCTGCTGTCAGGCTCTGTGATGACAGTTCAGAGTCTGGAGGCTGCTTGGGATTCTGTGTCTCCCTCTCTCTCTGTTCTTCCCGCACTCACACTCTGTCTTTCTCTCTCTCAAAAATAAATAAAGATTAAAAAAAGTAAAAAGTAAAAAGAAAGACATACAGGGGTGCCTGGGTGGCTTAGTTGGTTAAGCCTCCAACTTCAGCTCAGGTCCTGATCTCATGGTTCATGGGTTCAAGCCCTGCCTTGGGTCTCTGTGCTGACAGCTCAGAGTCTGAAGCCTGCTTCAGATTCTGTGTCTCCCTTCCTCTGCCCCTCCCCCACTTGTGCTCTGTTTCTCTCTCTCTCTCAAAAATAAATAAATATTTTAAAATTTCACAAGAAAGAAAGAAAGAAAGAAAGAAAGAAAGAAAGAAAGAAATGAAGACATACATAAAAGAACAATTAGAGATTGGTCCCAAGGTACGGGGCTACTCAGAGAAGGCTCTATGGCTCCAGCAAATATAGAGTTGGATCTAAAAGTAAGTGGAGAATTTGGTGAAAAGGCTACTTTAGACAGGAGGAACAATATGACTCAAAGCAGCAGGCTATCTGAGGTAAGAGCTCCACAAAGGCCCTCTGTCACCACCTTCTTTGCCCCCTACAACCATCCTCAAAGGCCTATGTCTTCTGGTCTTCAAATTTTATTTCAGAGTTAGTTATCTGTGAATCACAAGCTTTCTGACTGCTACCATGATTACCCACAGCCAACGCACATTAGAGCAGCTCACTAAGCTTTATACATCAGATCCTAGATGGACTGCTACAGGGCAGGCTTTTAGAGTCATCTTAGGTAGAGTCTTCAATAAGGAGTGGGGGGTGGTCAGGCATCTGTAGGGTCCTAGGCACACAAAGACAGCAAATACTTTTGGGTGCTAAAAAAGAGACATAAGCCCTCTTGCTGTCAGACTATTCAAGAGTCATTCAACTTCAGCTAAGTATTCCCCTCATTCACAGCTCTAGGACAAACAAAGCCATTTAAAGCAGTCGGAACCACTGAATTCCTATTTGAAACAGGGATGTTTAATGGTGATGCCACAAGGATTCTCTTTTTCACTGTCTTCCTAGAGAGTTTCTCCTCCTCTCTTGCCTCCAGGACTCACAGTTCAAGCATCCCAAGCTCTCTGAAGTCTTTCCTAATTGCCCTAAGCTGATCCCTCCCCTGTGCTGCCCTTAACACCTCTAGGCTTACTTCTAAGACAAGCACTCAACATACCATGTTGTAATTATTTGTTTGTCTGACTAGCCACAAGCTCTTAGAATTATTATTTTTTTAAGTAGGCTTCCCGCCCAGGGCAGAGCCCAACACAAGGCTTGAACTCACAACCCTGAGATCAAGACCTAAGCTGAGACCAAGGGTCCCTTAAGGTACTGAGCCACGCAGGTGCCCTTAACCACAAGCTCTTGGATGGCCAGGATATTTTACTCATCACTGATTCCACACATAACAGGCACACAATAAGCATTTGTTGAATGCATTAGTGATGAGTGATACGGGAAGTTTTAAAGAATGGTGACAGTACCTTCTGGATTCCAGACCAAAATTATAGTAAGTATTAACACTGAAGAATAAACTCCCATCATACATTTCTACTACCTATACCACTCTTGGCCAGAAAAAGAGGTCAAAAGATATGAGAAGATTGCTCTAATAGTGGTAGTCACTGTCAAGTTATCAGCCAAGAATAAGAGCGCTTGCAGCACTAAGAATGATCCAACATAGTAAGTGAGAGTACACTGTCAAATCTAAGACAGTGCCTAAGTTCCAGGCACATACTCCTACCTCTGCAGAATACGAACAATGAACTCCTATTAGACTCCTAATATAGGTCACTATCTCCACTGCCATGGAACCTTATAGCCAATTTCAACTGAATTGAAACATCCTGCTGAAACATACAGGAAAGCTGTTCTCCCTCTGACCAAATCCAAGTAAGGTTCTGCTAAAGGATAGAGATCTGAACTAAGTCCTCCCACAATCCTGCCATGTTGTACATTAGCACTCTAAATCATTCCTCACTGGCTTTATTCATCTCTGAAGAGATACAGGCAAGGCAGTAAAATGCTGCTGTCTCAAATGCCTCTCCCTGTAGCAATCCTGCACCACACAAGGCTACTGTGTTTATAGGCTGCTAATATGACACAAAAGTCTAATCTGATCCTGTGGGAACAAAGTCCCAGATTCTTTTAGGGATTAAATGAATTTAGTCTACTTTTGTATTCCCAAAATTGTGGAGGCTCAACAAAGTTGAAGAAAGCATAAAGCCAATACTCAGACAAGTGAGGGGATGGAAAGGGACTAGGCCTCTGAGGAACTTCTGTGGCAGGGTGGGATGTGGCTCTTGGCAGAGAGCGAATGAGATAGGCAATGTTCAAGGACAAACCAGGAGGTCTGTTTTACTGGTAGATACCAGGCTCCTTGCATGTTATCATTCCTAAGAAGCCAAGAGGCTCCAGTTAAATTAATTTAGGTTTCTAGAAAAGGCAAATAAATTTGTTTTGACCCCAGGCAAACACATTTGCCAAATCAATTCCTCAAACTAGGTGTTCATTCTGCTACTCCTGTCTTGCATAACCTCAGCTGTGACACTAACACCTGCAGCTACATTAGTCACAACTCAGCCCTTCACAGGATATGTGGTCCCACTACCCTCTTCCAAGAAGGGAAACGGAGTCATCAATTATGAACTGGCTTCCCCAAGCACAGACTTGGTTTGTAGTGAGGCCACAACTGAATCCAGCTTGCCTTCCTCCTATTCGTCTTCATGGAGAAATCTCACCATGCCCACTGCTGCTTCCTTTAACCTAAAACCCAATCATTGTTTTCTTAAGGGGCAGAAATGGGCACACTTGCTCCTTTAGAGCCAACAGGAGCTTCTAGTTCTCCTCTTTCCTAAGAAAGAGGAAGGCAAAAGAGGAACACGGAGCAGAGGAGGGGAGGCTTGGAAAGGGGTGCCTCCCAATACCAGGACTCACCTTGGAGCTGAGGTCTTCTCGCCGGTTTCCTGCCTTACTCCTGCGTAATTTGATGGATGGGGATCGAAGTAGGTTCTTGATCCGGCTGGTAATGGTTGACCCTTCCACAGCCATCATGATGAGGAGCCCCAGGGGACAGTTCCTGGCCCAATCTTGGGACTTGTCTCAAAAGCAGCACTGCCTTCCCACTCCACAGGTCCTTCCAGTATGCCCTCCCACTGACCTGAGATGGCAGAGGCCACCTTACCTTCTGCCTAGTCGTGTCTGCAGCTATTATCTCTAGGTATTACCCTCTCCCTCTTTCTCATACCTGCCTTCTAGCACCGCGCTGTTTGTTACATCTGAAGGACAAACCCATGAAAAAAGGGGGGCGGGGGGGAAGCCTGAGCTGCAAAGAAATGCCAGGCCCACGCCTGCCAAAGGCGTTTAGCCGGAGGGATGGGATTGGCCCTAGCAGGGCTAGTGGTTGGTCTGGTCCCCGTTAATGCCCAACTGTTCCCATGGCAACTGCGGTGTCTAAAAAAGGAGGCCGCCTAGGCCACTGAGGAGTCCCGCCGGGGGCTTTGGACACCTGAGCTGGCGGCCGTGGGGACACTCGGCGCGGCGGGGCTCGCTGTGGCCCGGCAACCGGTTCTGCCACGGGAGCCTCCCTCCCCCACCCCGACCCTTGGCCCTCCGCAGGAGACTGGACCCTTCTCTTTCACTTCCCTCAGCAGCCCCAGCTACTCGCCAGCGCCCCCGCTCGGGCCCAGCCTCACCAGCCCCAGGGCGCGGGGGCCACCCCGCTCACAGCGCCCTCAGGCATCGCGCTCTGCGATTTCAGCTCCGCGGCGGCAGCAGCAGCAGCAGCTATGGTGGCACGAACGGCTCAAAACGCGAACTACCGCCTGGGCCAAGCTACGGGCTGGTGAGGCGGAGTCGAGGCGAGGGGGTGCGGTCTGTATCCAGGAGGGCGTTCTGAGAGTGGACCAGTAAGGCTTATGGAGGCGGAGCCAATGAAGCTAGGAAGCAGAGACAAGACTCGAGAACTAAGGGTTCCGCACAGGGCAATCGCGGGTATCGCTCCTAAAGGAAGGTCAACGAACGTGCCTTCAGAAGTGAGACAACCAGCCTTTTATGGTATTATCAGGCCTCGTCCTCCAGAGAACTGCACTTCCCTGAGTCCCAACAAGACATTAACCACGCCCCCATGGTGCTGCGGTTGGCATTTGAGAGGCCCGAGAGACCTTAGCCAAAACCAACTCCTTGCTCAAAATTACAAGATTGAGGTACAGCTTTAAGGGTCTGCTCCCATCGACCCCAAGTGCTGGGATTTAAAGCGGTTAGAATCGTTTCTGCTCACGGCCTTCCCGGCGCGTAGACCTGCGTGCAAATGACTCCTGAATAGCTCTTAAGATCGCTAAGAAATGTTTTGAACTGGGCAACCTGATTGGCCATGATCGAAAAGGGGGCGGGAGATGACAGCCATGAACTGAGCTTCAGGTGTGCGAGGGAAGGGAGAGACAAGTGAATGTGCCTGTGAAATAACATGTTTCCTTTAGGCTCCAATGTCTCACCACGCTCTCTCACCTGTAGTTAACAGACTTTCTTGCTCCAGATCTTTTATTTGTTCATGTCAAGATTTGCTCCTTTTCCCTAGTACTGTTGCTTTGGCGAGGTCACGGTCAAGCTTGTTGGCACTATATTTAGTGATAATATTTTTTCGAGCTCATCCTGGGGGTGCAGAGTGGCGCGCGCACAGAAACACTCATATTATTCCATAGGTGTCTCAACCTGAGTTTATTTCCTAGAAGCCTTTTGGCCTCATTGCTACTTCAAGAAATTACCTATGGAAAGGTTAATGTGAGCCAAAAGACTTGGGCCCCAGAGAAACCGTACACGGATATGTCTCACCCTATCCAAACCTTTGGAACCCCTGGGGGAGATGACATGTCAGCAAAAGGATTAGGACCCCTAAACCCATTCCTTGTATAGCCATTTGGCAGAAGTATGTGCTTGTGTGTATGGTAGCCATGTACTTAAAAATGAGATCTGCAAAGCTCACAAGTTGAAACAAAAATCAGGAAAGGCACCTAGATGGCATGAGGTTTCCTACCCTTCCACTACACACAAAATGGGATTTTCACATTTACTTCTCAAATCTGAAGAAGCAAGGGTCAGCCACCAAGAGTATTAAATGGGAGTTGGTTCTTTAAATTCCTTGCTACTTTTACCTCCAAGGGGGTAGCAGCCAATGTAACACTAATAAATAGTGCCACCTGCTGTCCTTACTTGTGTGCTACATGCCCAACCAACTGCTGCCTCCACACTCAAGAGTCTCCCTAATTCTCTCCAGATTTTTGTGTCCACTATTGGTTTTCTCACTTACCACTTGTGGCCAGGTGAATGGGCTTACAAAGTGTCATTGGTCATTTCCTGTCCAAAGGTACCCTGGTTTACCCCCTTAGAGAAAATGTTCCCCAAATTACTCTCATCTGAAGCTCAAGTTGTAGAGGCAAATCCAAGCTAATTTCGTTGTCTAAAATGATCGAGGTGATAAAACTGAGAACAGTGTAATGAGATATTCTAAGTCTAGAATCTGGGTACTCCCGGTCCAAGGCCAAAACCACATATTATCAATTCTTCACCATTTAGTACATTTGTCTAGGTACCCTGCAGCTTCTGAATAGTCAATATGGGAATAGGATCTAGACTGTTCCCATGCTTAATTCCTCAGAAAATAGCAGTCCCAAGTCCAGTGTGAATAAAACCATTCTTCCCTTTTCTCCAAATAATTCCCAACCCACCCTCCAGATGCAGTTGACCCTTATATTAAGTATTTCACCATCCATACACTATTTCACTTTTTATTCTGCTTGTGTATGTCCTAAACATACATGGTTGTCAGATTTTAAAATTCTGTCTGGGAATGGATGTATACAATTGTCTGTTTTGCACTATGCTCATTAGATCAGATTTTAAAATTCACCCTAGGCTTAACATGCAAAAAGGTGCAATTATAAGACCCTGGAAAACTAACAGGCTGGAGTAAACATTTGCTCATCAATTCAATTATTTATTGAGCACCTTTACATGCAAGGCACTGTCGGACAGCTGTGATTGATGCTTGCAGTTGGAAACAGAATGGATCTCAAAACAATGCTTCCAAGACTGCTTTCTTATTTAACAAAATCTCTTCTAATAGCAGAGTTTGTATTGATAGAAGAATTTAGTAGAGCTTAGATTTGTCTCAAAATTCCCAAATCATTTTGTGGTTTAGCCTTCTCACCCTCCACACACGCCTCCATTACACTATTACTCAATGGTTGTATATCTCTGCAGAGCAGTTCAGTCAGTTATGCCTCAGCTTAAAAGTTGTATATATCAAATTATTTCCCTCTTAGTTTCAAAAATGCATTTTTGACTGATCTTTTTTTTCTCCAAATGGCAGTGAGTCTTGTATACCTCAGCTTTAATCTCCTCTGTTTCCAGCCATTCATATTTATGTAAAATTTCATTAGAGGTAATACAACAGTAACATGAAGTACTGATGCCCTTACAACCACTTTCTTCAAAATCAACCATTTTGTGCAAGAAATGTACTCAGATTCTTGTTATCCATCATTCTCTACAGAAGTACCTGAAAATGTGCAGCCTACTCTATGCATTGTTTTTTAATGTGGGCATGAGGAACAAGGGTTATCACCATTTTTCAGACCCGTCTGCAAAGTGCATTTACCTCTCAATTCACCTGATCCCATTCCTTCTTAATATCTAAAACCATTAGAATTAGAAGAGGAAAAAAAAAAACCACAAAACACTGTACCATGTGATCTTAGAGTAGTGCAACGTCTAAAGGACCCCTTTAATAAATAAAATCTTTCATAAATCGTGATACTAGTTAACATGTATCTTGCTTTAAAAACATCTGTCCTTAGCCCCTGAGATTGTGTTTATGTCCTGTTATTCTCTAAGGTAACAGATATATTACCTTGCACACATTGGTATTAGGAGGCTAGTCTTTCCTCACTGTTGAACAACTTCTTGAGACGAACATTTGCTGTCAATTTGTGGAAATTTTTGAAGTCTCCATGTAAAACACGCTAACAAGGATTAGCAAAAATCTCTCCAAATGGCAGGTCAGAAACTTTGAAAACAGTAAGGAATTCCTATGATAAAATTACTTCAGTGGTACCTCTCTCAAATGACTCCGGGTATTAGATTTCTCTACTCCAACTCAGCACAAACCTCCCAACACCAAGTCCTCCTTTCATTATTATAACTGATTTATTTATTTCAAGTTTATACATTCTGCCTTCCACTCACCAAACTTCTGTTCTTACGTTTCTAAAAAAATAGTCATTTTTCAAAAGCAGAAAAGGAAAGATATATATTTAATATATAAAAGAAAAGGCTAAATCTGACATAATTATATTCTTAAAAACATTCCATTTATTTACAGATGTATAAAAAGGCGAATTATTGGTCTACTGAGATCATGCTTCTTATAGTGTTAGGGTGAGAGCTCACTATCCTCCCAGTTCCTCAACTCCTCTCACTCAACTACATCTTTCACAATCACACATGTCATTTTCATAGATCAGTTTCTCTTGGGGTAAGGTTAAAGGGTAGGAGTTTTTGGAGATTTGAGATTTCTGTCAAGACTGCCGGACTGTTCTGAAGATAGAGCCCTCCTTCAAATTAGCCTTCACAACTTACTCGTTCTAAGAGGTCTTGAAAACACCATTATCCTGGGAGTTTGTAATGACATCTGCAGCCTTCTTGCAGACCTGGAATCATCTCTCATTTCCATCTTTGTACATCTCTCATGAACAGAGTCAAATATCTTTGCATGAAGAACTGATTATTACCTCTTTACTTTCTTCTAAAAAGGGAAAAGTGTTCAGAAGCAGAATGGTCCTTCTTTTCCTGAGGATTATTCACTCACTTGCCTTCTCCTTGGCTGACCCTCAAAAGCCATTAACAAGAGCCTTGGGAAGTCAGGAGGAAATGTGAGGATGAGACAAGCAAGTTAATAATGGGAAACTGCTATACCTGGATTAAAATACTAGGATCTCCAAGGTCAATTATTAGCAGGGGAGACAGGTGCTGGACTCCTTGGCTAAGGCATTGAATGAACTCTGCTGGGTAAATAGTGGGAGGGATAATGAGAAGCTAAGGGGCACTCATTACCTACTTCAAGCTTCTTCAGTAACTTTTAGAGGAGGGAAGGTTGAATGCTGATGAGCAGGTCTAGAAAGGCAAGTAGCACAATAACAACAAAGAATTTGCTCCCACTGCAATTGCAGAGGAAATTTTTCCACCCTTTTCAATCTAATTACCAGAGTTACTAGAAAGGGAACCAACCATGGAAGTACTAATTCACTGGCTAGAACTATTCCAAAGCTGGCCTCAACAACCTACATCTGAAGATCTGCTGAGTGGGATTTGGCATAAAGAAGGCAAGGGGGATGTAGAAGAAATAGCATCACCTAGGCACAGCCCAGGCACTGGAAGCTCTTGTGTTAGTGTTTCACAACACAAGCAAATCCTGTCAATGAAGACAGAACAGGGGTTACATTCCAAAATATAATTATTTAAGAAAGGCAAAATGCAGCAGCTAAATCCCAATCTATACATTTTCAGAATAGTGATTCTTGCCCCCAGGAGTTTCTAAGAGACCCCTCAAGTGCACCATGATTATTTACAAACTAGATAGGAAACATCATTTCTATACTCAATACAAATCTCATCTTCTAGGTTGAAAACTTCAGCCTTTGAGAAATCTATGAAAACAACTATACAAAAATATAAATATCTTTATCTTTACAGGCTGTCAGTCCTTCATACCCTGACAGCTTACGAGTGAAAAAGCTCTACAGATCATTGAATCCATGGTAGCAGGTAATAAAAAATATATCTTGTGATTCAAATACTGCCTCATTTCCCTGGTAAAGAGTGCCTACTGTGACTTTTCTTTCCTTTACATCCTGTGCAGGTAAAAGTGAATGAAACCTTCAAGCACCAGGAGGCTGGTTTGATTTGGGAAATATCCAGCCCCACAATTTTTTTTGTTTTGGCCACGGTCTCTGGTCTGGGCAGGGAATGCTTTTCATTCTAGCTGTCTCTTGAGTGATGTGATATGTGAAAAGGGGAGGGCTCCCTCCATGCCTACTTCCAAAATATGTATTCCAGGTAGAAACCCCTGGTACCGTGAAATGTCTTTTCAACACTCAGACAGTAAGGGAGAGCTAGTATTTTAACATCTGAAAATAATCACCTCAGTAATAAAAGTTAAAAGCATTCCTACTTTACCAGAAGGCTTGGATTTGTAATTCTGATTGAAAGATAAGGAAATGGAAGCTACTTGGGATATGACAGAAGAGAATATTTTGCTGAATGACACAAAGCATTTCACTTTGGTATTCCATGGTACCCATCCTCTCTCACCCTACTCGAACCACCAACTAAAAACTCTCTTCTGGATCCCTTTGCCCGAGTGCATCACATTCCTTGGATTTCAGACTTAAGCCACATAAACAATAGCTATCCACTACAACTCAGCCCATAACAACTGCAAAGTCTCAAGCAGCTTTTTCTCTGGGAGGGAAGAACTAGGAACCACTATGGACCTAGAGTCTTGTTATGAATTCCTTGGGTAAGAGGGGCACCTCGTGTTCAGTAATGGATCACATCTTCTTAGAGAGGATGAGGAGACCCAGCACCACAAGTGAGGTAACACATTTTAACATGATCAGAATTTCATAGTAGTAATTTCTTATACCGAGGTCAGCACCCTACCCCCCTTTCTCTACCATCATCCACTGCATCAAAGTCAAGGATCACAGTTCCATGACACAAATAAACAGATGCCTACAGAGAAAGGGTTTCCCTCATAGCCTGGCTTCTGCCTGAGGACAGGAAAGTTCATTTCCCTGCAGAACTTGGTGAGGCCCCAGAGTTGCCCAATTTGGCCACAACAGGTGCCAATGTAGGCATCACCTTGCTCTCCCGGCATTCCTGGTCATTCCCTGTTAAGTTCATTTTGTGTCCAACTTTGGCAGCTATAGGTGCCAAACAAGGCATCACCTTGAGACCCTGACCATCTGTATCACTAGAAGGATTAGCTACTTTTAAACCTAGAGGTGCTAACTTTGGCATAGGCCTCCACAAAGTATCTGTGCTGTTGTTCTCTAGGCCAGCCTTCATGTGTAGGATGGGAGGTGAGGACACATTTTCAAGCTCTGCAGGGACACCAGAAGTACTCTTCCCTCCATCACTGGCTTTCCTGTGAGAAAGGAGGGAATCCTTTATCTCAGAGTCGATAACAATCTTAAGGACATCTGGCTCAGACGCTGGTTCTGCAAGTTGTTTTTCATTCTCAGAAAAGTCATCATCTTCCAAGTGCAAGAGGAGAGGACTGACAGAGTCACTCTCCCCTTGTACATCAGGCAACTCTTTCAAACCAGTTCCCAAGTGGCCAACCTGGAAAGTCGCTCGGTTCCCAGGAGGAAGTTTACTGATAAAAGCCCGTCGAGCATCCCCTGGGAACTCCGTATCCATAGAGCTGGGCAGTTCAGCCAGGCTAACAGAGTCATCGTTTAGTTGCTGATTAAGAAAGGCAATCTCATTGAGCAGAGAAGTCAGTGTCTCATCAGTATCATCCTCATCTTCCATATTAGTTAGCAGTTCGCCAGGATCCAGCGCTGCTTCCTCTATAGCTGATGCTACCTTTCTCAGTTCCATCTCTATACTGGAGTCTTTGAGATCTTTCATCTTCAATTTATGAAATGTGGACTCCTTTGGCTTCAGTTTCTCCCGTCTAGATTCACACTCTTTCCATTTATATTGAATACCTCTCATTTCACCAGCAATCTTTTTGGGTAAGAACTCTTGTGCTTCTTGCATACTGGAAACATCAACTATTTGTGGAAAACCAGAATCTTTATTTGCCAGAAAAACTGGTGTTGGACCCAGTGCCACTCTGCCATCTCTATGGCTGCCTCTGGAAGAGATTCTACCCGAATCTTCAAAGGAGTTATCTTCATTCCTGACAGTACTTTTCAGGTGGTCAGGTGGCTTGCCATCAGAAACTTCATGAGGATATTTGCTGCCACCCATATCTACCAAACCTCCCTCTGTGGCCAATGATGTCACATTAACAATTCTTGGCATCATAAATAAGTCGTCATTTTCTGGGGGGGGAAAAAAATTCATTTAGTTCTACAGCAGTAAGCATTCCTCTCTCATTCATACCCAATGACCTGAGATCTCTCAGAAAGTTGGTAGTCAAAATTCACCAGTTTACTTTTATCAAAAAGATGAAAGGAACTATTAGTTCTTCAAATTACGGAGACCTAGCTTAACAAGAAAATAGGTAGGGGCGCATGGTGGCTCAGTTGGTTAAGCGTCTGACGTCGGCTCAGGTCATGATCTCGTGGTTCATGAGTTCAAGCCCCGCGTCGGGCTCTGTGCTGACAGCTCAGAGCCTGGAGCGTCCTTCGGATTCTGTGTCTCCCTCTTTCTCTCCCTGCCCCTCCCCGACTCATGCTCTCTCTCACTCACAAAAATAAACATTAGGAAAAAAAGGAGAAAAAAAAAACAACCTAAGAAAATAGGTAAAAGGACTAACCAAAGGACTGCTTAATATTCTTTGATATTAAAAGTTTTATTTAATATTTTATAGGAAAGCTCCCCGGTTAATTCTTTATACTGCGGCAGACATGCATCTTGATTCTGTTCACCCAATTAACTGCTACTCTGAGGGAAAAACGAAGCCTTAGAGGCAGCACTGTAAAAGAAAAGATGACCACTCCAGAATGAGTTTAACAATATTAGTACTGATAAAGATACCCTTCTGCCTTAACAGAAATTTAGGTGCCTGAAACCTAAATCATCAAAGTGAGACTTCCTTTCCAACTCTACTCCTTATCCCCAAAAGGGAGTCATGCTCAAACTGAATCCGGCTGGTAACCTAGGAGTGCACCATCTCAGAATACCACATAAGATTGATAAGTATTTGTCAAAGCCAAAAACTAAACAATGACTCCTCATCTTCCTTTTACTTTCAAATATTTTCAGTGTTTTTCCTACTCAGAATTAACTAAAAATCACAAAGGAGTTCCCAATCCCATGTTTAAAAAAAAAAAAAAATCAATAGAGCCAAACATGTTCTAAAAAGAGGGTCAGGGGCGCCTGGGTGGCTCAGTCAATTAAGCGTCCGACTTCAGATCAGGTCATGATCTAGCAGTTTGTGGGTTCAAGCCCCACGTCGGGCTCTAGGCTGACAGCTCGGAGCCTGGAGCCTGCTTCGGATTCTGTGTCTCCTCCTCTCTCTGCCCTTCCCCTGCTCATGCTCTGTCTCTGTCCCTCAATAATAAATAAACGCTAAAAAAAAAAAAAATTTAAAAAGAGGGTCATCTCTTTCCAAGGCAAATGCAAACATAAGAGATCTTATCGTTACAGAACACATTCAAAGGCTTTCTCTCTCACAGTGAGATATCAGGGATAACTTTTTTACTACCCATAGAGGACAATACTTACAACATACCTGATTGAGCCACAGCACTGGTGGCAGCTTGAGGCTTCAGATCAGTTTCTAAGAGAGCAGGAGAAACAGTTACCACTGGTCCTGAGAATAAAGGACCTTTTAAGGTGAGCAATTGCCCTTGCGGAGTCATCACGATGTTGGCAGAGGTGTGTGGAGTGTTAGAGGGTGAGGTATTTTCTGTAAGGAAAATGAGAAATTTGTTAAGGATGAAAGGTCTGCAATTAATGCTAATATAGCCTAGAAGCCGAGGCAATATCCCTAAAACCACACATTGACTTAAAAGGCAAAGGGTAAAATTTCAAATTTAGTTAGGGTGCCTCAACTGGGAATTTATTTTTTGACCACTTTTCACTGTGTAATGGGTTATCTGTCCACGGATTCTCCTAAGGGACAGAACTTATGTTGAGGAAAAGAGCTAAGGAACCACTTTTTCAACAGAATGGTCCCAATAGTCTTGACAGTGAATCAGGATAAAGGCATGCAAAAATCCTATCCCCAGGCTTGCTTTCCTTATACACCTCTAACAAAGTACTTTAAGTTTCTAGCTCTCAAACCTCTAGCTTTTCCATCTATGAAATGAGGTGGACTAGACAAAATGATCATTAAAATCTTTTCGTAGCAATCACATCATTTGAATCTGCAATGTTAAAACTAACTCATATTTTAGTATCCATCACTACTTTTCTCTTAGATATCCTGGTTGATAAAATGGGCCACCCAAAGAGTAAAAAAGGATACACTATTCTCTAAGAATATAAACAAGTAATATAAAATCAATATAGCCTCATTTCCAAAATCAAGATAGGAGAGAACAAGAACTTAAAACCAATTTACTTTTGCTCCTTAACAGCAACTGATTGATAGGCAATCTGATGAAAATGGAGCCTGACTCAACAAAATTGATTTTTTTTTTAATTCCCATTTATTAGTTTCAGCACGACAAATAAAGACCCAAACTTCCTCAACTTGTGAACAGAATTACGGGGAAATCAAGAGTTTACGTATTAAAGTCTGAAAAGATGACAACTTAAAAAAATACTCACTGAAACATTAGAATAACCTGACTGCTATCAAAAGTAGGTTTTACAGGTTACCATAACTGGTAACTTCTTAGGATTTACTTGAATGTATAAAGTTAGAAACTAAAATCTAATGTGGTTAATGTTTTTTATACAACCCATCTTTAATTCATTTAATTAAATCTAAAATTATGGCCAAAAAAAGACTCAGTCCACTGAATTAAACTGATGTTCACCTACATTAAGAAAAGCAAAACATGTCCCTCCTACCTGTGGCCTGGTCTCTTTTTCTGGAAAGAATCAAAGGTTTCCCCTTCCTGTTATTTATAAACATCTGTCCAACATCTACAGATGATGCAGAAGATCCTTCCTGCTGTTTGCTAGTTCTGGCAGACACATCAAACTCATCTGATCCCATCTTCTTTTTTCTTTTTTGTGCCTCTAGTGCTTGTTGTTTTGCATAAATATACTCTAACTTCTTCAGGACCACTTCTTCTGTCTTACCTATAGGTTGATAAGGAATAAACCATCACACGGCTCATTATATGACCCCACATAATAGGAAATAGGGTCAAGTGAAATCCAGTTGATTTAACTATATTCCCCAAAATTATGGAAAGCAAGAATGATTATATTCCAGAAGAAACACCTCACCCAATCAAAAGGTAACTCTACTGTTAACTCTGGGAACCAAGCCATAAACTAAGCAATATCTGAAAAGTTTACTAAGGATTACTCCTCACTAAAGACGTTATATTATATTCTTTACCAGAGATCATTCACATATCTCACCTGAAAGAGATGATACTTTCCGTATCAAAATATTCCGTTTTCGAGTCAGGAGATTTTTCTGTCCTATCAATTTGTCTGCCTGATCTGTTAGTCCCTGAATTTCGCTGAATGCCTACAAACAAGAAATTAATGTCATGTAAATTGATTCGCTCTTTCCTAAGAACAGGTAAGGCCTACTCAATTTCTTTAATGAAAAAAGTTTGACGAGTATTTTAGAAAACTTTATAATGTCATTTGAAACAATTCTTGATGCTTCGGAAACTTATCAAACTGCAAGAGGTTTTCTGGCTTATTCTTCTAAGAAACATGATTATTTCCAAAGAGCATCACTGAGTGGTTCACAGGTATTTCTACTACTACAAGGAGATATAAAACATTTTACTGCTTTGATTTTAATCAACTTTACTTTCCTTTTAAGATTTTATTTTTGAGAGACGAGAGAGACAGAGAGAGAGAGAGTAATGTTATATTATATTCTTTTACCAGAGATCATTCACATATCTCACTCCAGAGATGATACTTTCCGTAATCAAAATATTCCGTCGTCAGAGATTTTTCTGTCCTATCAATTTGTCTGCCTGATCTGTTAGTCCCGAATTTCGCTGAATGCCTACAAACAAGAAATTAATGTCATGTAAATTGATTCGCTCTTCCAAGAACAGGTAAGGCCTACTCAATTTCTTTAAGGAAAGTTTGACTCCAGTATTTTAGAAAACTTTATAATGTCATTTGAAACAATTCTTGATGCTGAAACTTATCAAACTGCAAGAGTGTTTTCTGGCTCTTCTAAGAAACACATTATTTCCAAAGAGCATCAACAGGTTCACAAGGTATTTCACTACTACAAGGAGATATAAAACATTTTACTGCTTTTGATTTTAATCAACTTTACTTTCCTTTTAAGATTTTATTTTTGAGAGACGAAAGAGTATATATTAAAGAGAGAGAGAGAGAGAGAGAGAGAGGGGAGGGGAGGAGGGGAGAGGGAGGGAGGGAGAGGGAGGGAGGGAGGAGGGAGGGAGAGATAATCGCTAGGGGAGGAGCAGAGAGAGGGAGACAGAATCGGAAGCAGACTCAGGGAGTTCAACTAGGGCTCAACCTTACAAACCAGGAGTGATCATGACCTGAGCCAAAGTGGATAAATGAGGCACCCAGGCTGCCTCGCATAATCAAGTAAAAATCACCTCCCTACAGGGCATGTGCATGGTGGCTCAGTCAGGTAAGCATCTGACTCTTGATTTCAGCTTAGGGTCACATCTTGAGGTTCTCTCAGAGTTCAAGCCCCACATTGGAGCACAGTGCAGAGCCTGCTTGGGATTTTCTTTTTTCTTTTCTTTTCTTTCTTTCTCTCTCTCTCTTTCTTTTTCTCTCTCTCTCCCTCCCTCCCTCTGTCCCCCCTACCCCGCTCCTGTTCCCTCTCTCTCAAAACAAACTTTAAAAAAAAAACCTTAATGGGTGCTCGGCTCAGTCGACAAGCTGCCTAACTTGAGTCTGTACAGGTCATGATCTCATAAAACCAAGCCTCAAGACGGGCTCTGTGCTGACATTTCAGAGCCTGTAGCTTGCTTCTGATTCAAGGCATGTTTCC